TTTATAATGTCCTAATATCTTTTGACTTTTTCAAATTTCTTGGATTGTTTTTGCTCATTTATTTTTCCATATTAATCTTAGAATCAGCTTGTCCAGTTAAAAAATTCTGTTACTATTTTTACTGGAATCATATTAAATGTATTGGTTAACTTAAGGAGAACTACCATTATAAAACTGAATGTAGTATTTTTTTTGGCTGCGTTGGGTCTTCGTTGCTGTGCACAGGCTTTCTCTAGTTGTGGCAGTGATCGGGGCTACTCTTCATTGTGGTGTGCAGGCTTCTCACTGTGGTGGCTTCTCTTGTTGCGGAGCACGGGCTCTAGGTGCGAGGGCTTCAGTAGCTGCGGCGTGTGGGCTCAGTAGTTGCTGCACACAGGCTCTAGGGCGTGAAGTCTTCAGTAGTTGTGGCCCATGGGCTTAGCAGTCATGGCTCGTAGGCTCTATAGCGCAGGCTCAGTGGTTGTGGCGCACATGTTTAGCTGCTCCATGGCATGTGAGATCTTCCCGGACCAGGGATCGAACCCACGTCCCCTGCACTGGCAGGCAGATTCTTAACCACTGCACCACCAGGGAAGTCCCTGGATGTAGTATTTTTTGTTTTCAATGTACAGTTGTGTTTATTTTGAGAATTAACAAATTTTGCTCACATAGTTCTTTACAATTATTAGGTTAGTTCCTAGGTATTTTATCTTTTAAAATTACATTGTAATTTTACAAGGTAAAATTGTTGAGGCACTGAGGCTTCTGTAGGGACTACCCTGGCAGTCCAGTGGTTAAGACTCTGCACTTCCAATGCAGGTGCATGGCTTCGATCCCTGGTCGGGGAACTAAGATCCCACATGCCATGCAGCACGGCCAAAAAAAAAAGAAAAAGAAAAAAAGATTAAAATTATACTGTAAATTGATCCTTTCCTTCTATTATATTTTCAAACTTGTTTGTTTATATAAAGCTATTGATTTATGAATATTCATGGCATATGCCACTGTGTTATTAAATTTTTACTTGCTTCCCATGAGATTACCTCATATATGAGCATATAGTCTACAAAGAGTGATAATCTTAACCTCCTTCTTTCCATTTCTATACCTCAAAATTTTTTTTCTGATCTAATTCTGCTGTTTTAGTGCCTTCAAAAACCTATTAAGTGGAAATTCCCTAGCGGTCCAGTGGGTAGGACTCCGTGCTTCCACTGCAGAGGGCACAGGTTCAATCCCTGGTCAGGGAACTAAGATCCCACAAGCCATGTGGTGCAGCCAAAAAAAAAAAAAAACCAACCAAAAAACCTATTAAGTGATAATGATGAATGTGGCTGTTCTGGTTAAAAATATGTTCACAAGTTCCTTGACATTCATCCCTTCAAAAGATGGACTCATCTTTTTGAATGAAGGCTGGCTTGAATGACTTACTTCTATGGAACAGAAATAAAGTGAAAGGGATGGTGTGTGACTTTGGAGACCAGGTCATAAAAGGGACTGCAGCTTCCTTCCTCTCTCATGGTTTACTTACTCTGTGCCAGTGCCATGGTTTGTTTTGTTTTTTGTTTTTTTTGGCTGTGTTGGGTCTTTAGTTGCAGCGAGCGGGCTTCGCATTGCGGTAGCTTCTCTTATTGCAGAGCACGGGCTCTAGGGGAGCAGGCTCAGTAGCTGTGGCTCGCAGGCTCTAGAGCACAGGCTCAGTAGTTGTGGCGCACGGGCTTAGTTGCTCTGCGCCATGTGGGATCTTCCTGGACCGAGGCTCGAACCCGTGTCCCCTGTATTGGCAGATAGATTCTTAACCTCGATGCCACCAGAGAAGTCCCCAGTGCCAAGTTTTGAGGACACTCAAGCAGGCTTGTGGTCCCAAATGTTGAGGCACTGAGGCTTCTGGCCAACAGTCATGCAAGTGAGCTTGGAAGTGGATCCTCCTGCCCGGATTAAGCCTTCACAGCTGAAGCCCCAGCTGATATCATGACTGTGACTTTATGAGAAACTCTGAACCAGAAGAATACAGTTAAGCTGCACGCACCCTGCCTTGTGTGTTGGTGAAGTTTTTGCTTATTGGACTGGATTATAAATTGATTCACATGACCCACAAAGTTTAAAAATGATTTGTATCAGCTTGGACTGAAAGGGACAGTGACAGTACAACGTGAAGAGAGGTCCCTGCACAACTATAGACAGGAAGCAGCTGAGAAAATGATTTAACTGTAAACATGGGTACCTTTTATGGAGATGGAAGGATAACTCAGTGGGTGGAGCCAAGAGCCCAGTGGATGGAGAAAAGAGCCACTGATTACTCTCAGGAAGTTGACAGAGTCCTAATCAAGGAACCGGCAGCATTTACCCAGTTAGATTTCAGAATTTCTGTGGACTAGTGACTACTATGTGCCTTTCATTGCTCTCCTCTTTGAAGGGAAATGCCTATAGAGACACAGTTTCCCATGCCTCTCTCATCGCATGTGATGTATGTGGTAGTGGTTAGTGCAGCTCTCCTGTCTTTTTAATTCACAGACCTTCATATGGAGAGGAACCACTTGAGTTACACCCAAGGAACTGCATCCAAGAGCTCATTTGCTCCAGGACCTCACAAGATTCCGGACCTTAATGCTGTATTGGAATGAGAACTTTACAGGGGTCTGGGGAGGGGATGAGTGTATGCTGCATGTAAAAAGAATGTAAAACATGTGTGGCCAGAGGGTGGCTTCTGGAAGCTTTAAAACGTGGGCCCCAAATTATTTAACTCTCCTCCCATCAGTGTGATCCTGTGGCTGCTTGACTAATAGAATACAGTGCAGAATTAAGATCCTGTATCAGTTTCTGGTCCCAGGCCTTACGTGTTTTTTTTTTTTTAAAAAAAAAGATAGTTGTTAAAGATGGTAAGCAGATTTTATTCAGGACGGTGACTGGTACAGGGATGACTGCAATGAGATTTTGCAGTGGGGGAGACTGGGCTCAACCTCAAATACAGCATGGTAATTGGGAATTTAGAGCCAAAGAGCAGAGTGGGGGTTAGCAGATGGAAATTCACTAAGAGGAAACATCAAAGGTAAGGGGGTTTCTGGTTAAACCTATCTAACAGGATTCTTGTTCAAGGTAGTCCAGGGTGATCAGATATTACCTAGGTCAGCGGTCCACAACTGACCAGGGCACCAGGGACCGGTTTCGTGGAAGACAATTTTTCCACGGCCCGGGGGATGGTTCAGGCAGTAATGCAAGCAATGGGGGCGGGGGGGGGGAGTTCAGGCGGTAATACAAGCGATGAGGAGCGGCAGATGAAGCCTTGCTTGCTTGCCTGCTGCTCACCTCCTGCTGTGCGGCCTGGTTCCTAACAGGTACCGCTCTGTGGCCCAGAGGTTGGGGACCTCTGACCTAGGTGATGATGGAGGCTAAGAAACCTAATCAGATACGGAACTAGAGGGTTCCTATAATGACTTAGTGGGGTTCTTGCTAAACCTGAATTTTATAGATGGGACAGGAGGTCAGGAGATTGACTAAAGTTTGATCAAGCAAAGAATCTTTGTCCTAAAACACCAGCAACTGCTACTTCCTGTCTTTTGGGACACTAGCTTTTGGAACCCGTATGCCACGCTGTGAGGAAATCAAGACCACATGGAAAGGCCACGTGTAGGCATTCCAGCAGGTCCACAGCCAGTATCAAGCATCAGACATGACTATGGGAGCCCTTGACATGATTTTAGCTGCACTCATAGGAGAGGCCCTGGATGGGAATCCCCTAAGCCCAGTGAACCCTAGAAGCAAGAACAATAACAACAGCGTAATTGCCATCCGTTCCTGCGACCCAACCCCTCCTTTAGTTCAAGCTTGCCAAACCACTCACGGGAATTAGCAGTTGAGGGAACTTTCCGGAGCCCTTTCTCGGGAGTGATGATTGGCTTGCACTCACGTCAATCAAGCCTTTCTGCCCAATGGGCCTTTCAGCCTCCAGACAGGGTGTGAGCCTATTGGCTAACACAACCGCTCTCTCCATCTGTAGTGTGGGCAAAACCCAGAAAGTACCCACAAAGACCACACGGGATCAAAACACCTCCAGAGTGGCGTTTAGGGCGGCTTCCTACAGTGCGGTCCAATGAACTCTTTATTTTGGCAGCAAATTCAGTCCTCGAGCCCGCCCAAAAGGAAGAAGATCTTGACTGGTTGTTTAGCACAGGAGCACAGAGACTCACGGGAGCCTCGACGAAGCACTTGCCATTATTGTTCAGATCGCCTGTCAATCAGCGCGCCTTTCTGGATGGGCGGAAACTGGGGGCCCTTTGGCACCGCCTCTTCCTGGGCTGGTAGGTAGGGAGGCCGCCAGGCCGCAGTGGCTGGGAACCTGCCGCGTGGGCGGGGCCGCGCTGCACGGCCCTACAGTTGCTTCAACGTGAAGCGTCGGGAGTGCAGCGAACCTCGGGGCCGTGAGAGGGGGGCTTGGCCCGGTGCGAGCGCGGGGGCGGGGTCGCGGCCGGGGCGGGGCTGGAGGAGGCGGAAGCGGCGAGCGAGCTGGAGCCGGAGCCGTAGCGAAGCCAGCGTCCGGGCCGGCGGGACGGCGTCGGCTGGGTTGGCCGGGGCGGCGGGGCTCTAGAGCCGGGGCGGGCGGGCAGCGGGCCGGGGGTCGAGGCCGGGGGTCGGGTGACGGGCGGGCTGAGCTCCCGCCCCCGCGCGGTCCCGGGGAGGATGCGGCCGGGGGCCTCGGGGCGGGGCGGGCGGTGGCGGCGGCAGCGCTAGCGGCGCAGGGGGTGGGCGGCGGCGGCATGAGGCGCGGGGCCGGCGTCCGCGGGAGGGAGGCGCTGCCCGCGGCCCGGCCGCTCCCGCTGCAGCTGCTCGCCGGGTTCGCCGTGCCCTGCCCGCGGGGCCCTGGCTGTTCTCATCCCGGCCGCCGCCCGGGCTGCCGCTGGTGACCACTCGCCGCGCCGCCGGAGGCTTCACCCGCGCCCTCCCCCAGGACGCGCCCGTGGAGCTCCGGCCTCTTCGCCCCGCTCGCGGAGGCCGCGCTGCGCGCCGGGCGGCGGCGAAGCCGGAAGATGGCCTGGGTGCTCAAGATGGACGAGGTGATCGAGTCCGGGCTGGTGCACGACTTCGACGCCAGCCTCTCGGGCATCGGGCAGGAGCTGGGCGCCGGCGCCTACAGCATGAGGTACCAGTGCTCGGGCGCGGGCGGGCGGGCGGGCGGGCTGGCGGAAGCCTCTGTCTCCTTGGGAAAGGCCTGCACGACCCTGGGCCTCTGACCGCGCCATGGAGCCCCGCGGGCCTCTGACCACGGCGGGGGCCGGCGACGGAGGGCGGCCCAGCAAGCTTTGGCCCGGGGATCGCCCCCTGAGGGCTGCATTTTTGCTGTAAAATACGCCCCGCTGTTAGGATGGCTTGAGTTGGGGGAAGGGACTTCCTTGCCTTGCAAGTGATTTACAAGTCACTTAGAGCTGGAATACTGTGTACGAAATGCTAGGTCTCGTGTTGGGAGAACACTCTCCAGGGTTTTGGCATTAGTTCCTACTTTGTTCTACATTGTAGTCTTTATTGGTTGCAAATTTTAATCACTTGATATTCCAATAGTAATTATCATAAGTGAAAGTAGCCACAGGGGGGGAAAGCACATTAACTTGGCTTTTTTAATTGTCTCAAAGTGAAGTTTTTCACTGGGGGGACTACCCTCTGAGGCTGTTTCCTTTTGAAGAAGGCTTTAAGATGCACTGATTGCACCACAAACAAGAGTTTGTTTAGTCTCAGCTGTCTGAGACTAAAGCAGCCATTCATTTTGTTTTAATTTTGATAGGTTGAAACAGATCTGAGCTTAGTCTCTCGCCTTTATCCTGAAGAACACTGGGTTTTTCCTATCAGTTTGGCAGCTCTGTATTTTTATTTTTTTAGCAGTTTTATGGAAATATAGTTTACTTAGTATACGTTCACCCGATTAAAGTGTAAAATTCAGTGGTTTGGCAATTTTTCGTTAATGCGAATTAAATGAGATTTTGCGAAGAGAGTCTTTAAAGTAATGACTGATGTCTTTGACGAGCTGTCCAGTTTCCCAGTAGCTTTCATACCTCTCACTGCAGCTCTGGGGGAGGACAGGGAGCATTAAAGTCCTGAAGAAGAACGACTTCTGGGTCAGAGCAGGCCTTGGATGGTAGGGGCTGCTCCCTGAAATAATTTGGCTTTTAAATCTTAAACAGAAACTCTGAGCTGAAAAGTGGAGATGTTTCTTAGGGTGTGGAAGCACATGGATGAAAGCTTCAGGTCGCCGGTCTCTGACCCTGATTGGGTCTGTGCTGGTCTGCCTGAACTTGGCACTTCCTCTCTCTGCAGCTGTGCAACTTGAGGGCTCTGGATGAGGTGGCTTATTTTCTAGAACAACTGTCTTAGTGTTGAGGAAATTGAGCTACTGAAAGTCATAAGGTCACCCCAGTCGGCAGTACAAGAGGCACTGATTCACAGTGAAAACATGTGTGGGCCTCAAGGGCCATGCTGCTCCTTGAGACCCTGGACTTGCAGTGAAGGCAGAAGAGGGCAGGTGAGGCAGATTCAGTGTTTCTTCTCAATTATGGTTAAGTGAAGGTTTGCTGCTGAGAGCTTTGCTTACTGAGGGTTATTTTGAGCTTTTACTTTTTTTTCTTGAGTTCTGTGTGTTTCAGTGATTCAGCCAACTAGTGAACTTTTGTTTATGGTCTAGAAGGAAAATCTTGATATTAAACCTTTTCATTACCTTGTCCTTAAAGGTACTTTCTGACATCTTTGTAATTCTGTGTCTTTTTACAACACTTTCCATGGGGACTTTTTCCATTGATTGTTTTTGGTTATTGGTTATATGGTATGTGTCATTTAATCTGAATTTTCTAGTATCTTTGAATGCAAATACCATTTTTAAGGAGCTTATTTAGTTTTTTGTACTTAATTGGGTCCTCAAGAGGAGCCAGGAGAGTACTTGCTTCTTGCAAGTTCAAGGCCCATTATTTCAAATACAAATTTAGGAAAACTCCAGGATTGCCTCGATCTGAAGAAGGTCTGAAGAAGGCTTTAGGCTGTTGCAGTCCTCCTTTGATGGCCCTTACGCTTCCCACGCCCGGCCCTGGAGTTGGGGAGTGCCCAGCCTCCTCTCTGCAAGGGCAATGGCCTTTCCTCAGGCATCGGGGAAGCGGGACATTCCCGAGCTCCAGGGAAGTAAGGCTCATGTTTCTTGTCTATTTCATTTGTTCTCTCAAATTCAAGAAATAAACTTTAGGCGCTAAATTTGAAATTATTGGAAAAGTGACTCCTTGATAAAAATTTGCTCTGGAGGCAGCTTTCTATTTTTCTTTCAAAGTGAAGTATGCTTGAGGGACTTCCCTGGAGGTCCAGTGGTTAAGACTGCGCTTCCACTGCGGAGTGGTAGGGGAACTAGATCCCACCTGCCACGCAGTGCGGCCAAAAAAAAAAAAAAACCCCAAATTGAAGTATGCTTACTGTATTTGCTTTTTGTATGGCTTAAACCAAGAGGTATTTCTAAAGACTTCTTTAGGAAATGATTTCTTCAGCTTTGAAGGAAGATAGTATGAAAGAAACGTGGTTTCTCTCAGTAGTCTGACAATTTAGAAATATATATTTGCATTAAATGATGTAGGCTGGTAGTACTGGGATATGATGAGGCTAATTTCTGGTAAAATCTTTGCTTCCCTTTTTTTTTTTCTACACTCTGGTTCTCATTGTCTGTGTTCTTCTGTGTGTACTCTGGTACCCCATTTGTATGTGAGGCATAGGCTGCTGCAGATTCTGTTTGAAATGAGGCAGGTCAGAAATGTTTTTTAAAATCTTAGTTACAATATCAGGAGTCTAGAGATGGTTGAAGAGACCCTAGAAAGCTAATAGACCAATCCTTTTCTTGTAAGTGTGTAAACCAAAGTTTGTAGTTGTTAAAGCGATTGTCAGTGGCACCACCATTCCAAGTGAGGACTGAGTTTCCCCTCACTGAATGAAGGCCGAAACCCATTGTAACTTGAAATCTGGGTCATTCATGTTTTGTGAAGTAAGGAGCAGATAACCAAAGGACTTGAAAAAGTAAAACTCATTAAAACTCTCCTAGGAGGGTCTTTTGGGCCACCTGGTAATTTTATTTCCATCTTAAGTGTTCACATGAAATGTATAATCTATAATAAGTTAACTTTCAGGATTTAACGAGTAATTTGAAAAATAAAAGTAATGTGAATTCTTTATGCATAAAAACTTAAAATATTATTACTTTACAAAGGGCATTGGTCTGAGCCCTCTTAAACTTCACTATGGTATACATCTGTTTTGAAACAAAAGGTATACTTCACATATTCTTAAGTGAGAGGTACATTCATAGTTTACAAATAATTTGCTAAATCAAAACTGGTTTGGGGTGAAGACAGATTTCCTATATTGACTGAAAGATTAAAATGTCAGTTTATAGACCCTTTGAGGTAATGGGAAAATTTTAACTTTGATCAGTGTTAAGTTAGTAAAAGATTACAAAGGATATGGTTTATTATGTAGCTATTAATAGCTTATAATTTTCTTTGGGTCTCATGCTAAAGCAGAATGTCCTTGAGTAGGTGACATTTCTTGGAAGTATAGAAAATTTTCAGGATCAGTGAAATTTGAACAATTTATTAGGGTGGTACCTGAGACTGCTTCCAGAATTGGCAATAATTTCTATAAAATTTCTCATTTCAAATTTTAAAAACTTTTTCTGGGTTTAATCTTGAAAGAATTTAATAAATTGTTGATAAAAAAAAGATACTTCAGAGTATAATATCCATATTTGTTATTACCTTAAAGCAGGGATTGGCAAATCTTTTCTATAAAAGGCCAGATAGCAAATATTTACGGCTTCGTAGGCCAGAGGGTCTCTGTCACTCTGTTTTGTTTGTTTACAACCCTTTAAAACCATTCTTAGGTCCTGATTGTACAAAAACAGGCCAGCTGGGTTTGGCCTTTGGGCTGTAGCTTGCTGACCCCTGCTGTAAAGGATAGATTCTAATAATATACTTTGATTGCCTTGGAAAAACATTTGCTGAGTATTGAAACCTTATATTCAAAAAATAATTTTTATGTAGACTAAGAACTCACTCATCTAATTTATGTACCTCCTATTGTTTGTCCATAGATTTTATTGTGTTCAATTCTTAAAATCAGGTGTTCTTTCCCCGCACTAAGTAAGATTCAGTACAGTTTATGCCCTTCAATCAGGGCTGTTTGAAACTTGGTAGTTTATTGATACGGTCTCATAAATGTGATATGTTTCATCAGAGTGACACTTAATAGTTTGCTAGGACAACTTGAACATTTACTTTTGGTGGAAATACCGTCTGATGGTTCATCTTATTTTGCTGTAAGTTCTGTGACTGAATTTAAAAGAAGTTCTGTAATATTTATTTTGCTTGCTTTGGGACATATCTGATACATGGTTGTGAAATTCTTCTGTGTTGAACCTTGGTAGTAGATTCTTTTTGTTTTAAACTTTCTGAGTTTATGAGTTAGGAGTTTATGTTTACAAGTTAAAAGGATTGTGTAGATAGTTGACATATACCCTTTACCCAGCTTCTACTTCCATAACCAGAATACAGTCTTCAAAACTGCCTTGGTGCAGAACTGTTACCTAAAGGGCAAAATTCATTTGAATTTCATAGGTTTTTTTCCTCTATTGCCCTTTTTCTAGTCCAGGTTCCAATCTAGGATCCCATATTGCATTTAGTCTTTACCTCCTTCAACAACAATTCCTTAGTCTTTCCTTCTCTTTTATGACACCGACACTTCTGCTATGTAATGGTCAGAACCGTTGTTTTTAAACACATAAAAATTTTTTGGAAGCAACAATAGAATACCTGTGAATGCTATTTAGCTTTTAAAGGATCTCTGTCATTTTAGCAGAATGATTTTTTTTAAAGGCTCATTTTTATTTTATTTTAATTTTTTGGCTATGCTGTGCAGCATGTGGGATCCTAGTTCCCCGACCAAGGATTGAACCCATGCCCCCTGCATTGGAAGTGCAGAGTCTTAACCACTGGACCTCCAGGGAAGTCCCAGCAGAACGACTTTGAGTAGAGTAGGACCACTGTTGATGTCATTCATTTATAGATTACTTTGTCTCAGTCTACCTGAATAGAATGGTATGCTGTGTCCTTTGTAGTCTCTTCATAAGCA